CGGCGGCTTATAAAACTTGTATGGAAAATTAGACAATGCGTTGGCATGCATGTATTGCCGCAGGAGGAGAGTACTTTGAAGGCGATAATAGAGAAAATTATTAAAAATTAAAATTTTGCGTTTTTTTTTTTTTGTAAATTCTCGGTCTTTTTTGATCATATGGTAGTGAGTTTGGAATTCATTCTGCGGTAGTAATTAAGTATGGAATGTCATTAACCTGTCTTTGTTGGTTAAAGCGTGTTATGTGTAGAATCTTGTTGAAACTTTCATAACTTCTCGACTATAGAGGACATCTTATAACACTTTTTTTTGCAGACATATGTAGTGTAGCTTATCTTGGGCGGATTAGCAAAAAAAAATTTTTTTTTTCTTAATTAGGAGTACATGAGTGCACAAGTAAAACGGCTTCAAGAAATTCCGCCTCCTTTTAGTAGTGTCATATAATGGGTTCACATTGCCGCCACAGTCCAAAAACACTAGCGGTGGTTTATTGTCGTCCGATTTTAGATAACAACCATAACATTTTGCAAAACTCAGTTTCGTTAGAATGTGGTATGTGTCGATATATGAAGAACGTATTGTGGTATTCGAGTGCTCCAACAGTATTACTATATTATACTGTAAGGACGTAATTTTTTACAAATTTCCTCGCTACATAAACTTTTAACTTGAATATATAATTACAATAAATAAAGAAATATATTTAAATAATAATATTAATAATATATGTGTAATATGTTAATTACATAGTTTGTTTACTAGTTATATGTATATTTCCTTTATTTAGTGGTTGATATTAATTTTTAGTTAAAACAGAAAATATAAATATTAAAAATCACCACCTTTCATTCATGAATTGAATGAACCAGTTTTTCAACGTAGCAGCACCCACACCCACACGCACATCCAGCACAAAACAAGCCAAGCTTAATTAATTGTGTACGCATGAAGAATTACACTTGTGCGGTTGTGCGTACAACTAATAAAGTGAGGGTGATTTCATATAAATGGACGACAATTTTATATGAAAGATCACTTAGCGGCAGCTCACCGAAGTGAGTAGACACCTACATCATCGCTTAGTCGCCAGGGAAATTTCACGCCAGTAGTATTCTGATACTACAGACTAGATAAATTTGTAGACTTGTAGTTTATAACGCCACACGGCATTTTGATGTCATAGGCTAGAATTTTTGTATCATAGAATATAACGTCCCCGGCATTTTGATCCATTGGCTACAACCTATTGTAACCGCTTAGAATTATAATAACATAGACTAGAATTCTTTTTTTACCTAATATTATCAACTTAATGATAAAGACATTCATTTTGAACTAAAATACACAATGTCTTTACTTTCTCCTTGGTCTTTTACTAGTCTTCGAACTAGTCAATAAAAAAAATTTACTGAGTGACACCTCAGCAAAATTAAACGACGAATCCGTGTCGTTACTATACTATATCACAATATATATCAATATCACAAAGAATAAACTCAATAAACTAGTTGGAACATTACCATTGTTTAAAGTCTGTTCAGCAAACTCTGTAGTTATAAAAAAAGAAACCGTTGACTAGGTCAACATTTCGAATGGTTTGAATTTTACAATATTGGTTTCTCTGAAAGGGTTATACATCATCATATACTGGTTTATGACTTAACACAAGATGGTTCTTCTTAAATGGACGAATTATCTTAATGTTTAAAAAACAAAAAAAAAACACTAAATTATTTCCCATTTCGCGTTTTACTGTGTAAATAATAAAAAATCAGTCTCAAAGAGTAACTGTAGATAGGTGATTTAGTATTGTAGTTAATAAAGGTTACTATGACTCTAAAGCAACCTGCATCTTTACCTTTACCTTTACTAAAAATTGTATACGATCATCTTCTAGCTCTTAAACCTTTTATTTATATAGAACCATTCTGGAATATATGGGATATATTCAGTAACCATCTTACTTACATTATATTAAAATATTAAAAACTTTTTAAATTATTTAGTTTTGTGTATCAAATTCCTCATTTTCTGCATTCATTTGCTTACGTGCTCATTACTCATCATCATTTCCTTAGTTTAATTAAAAAGTTATGCGGTTCTATCGCTGAAGAGTTAGGGTTTGATATGTTAGAAGTTTTGCCTCAACTACTTCTTATCTTGCTTTGTAATAGTGTCTTATGAACGGCATTCTATTAGCACAATTTAAATAATTTCAGTTTCAAATGCAAGCACACGCGTTCCGCAAATTCAATTCATGACAAAAGTAAAGAGCAGAGCAGAGCTTTGCTTTGCTTAGCGCTGCAACAATGCAACATGGCAATGTTGAAGAGGAAACACTTGAAAGACTTTCATTCAGATACAATGCAACAATGAAATTATAATAAAAATAAAATAAAAAAGATGAAAAGATAAAAAGATAAAAAGATGGAAGCATACGAGTACAGCAAAAATAAAATGAATTTACCGTGAAGTGAAATTTGTACAAATGCTGAAAATCAGTCACAAGTGCGTCAAGGAGTTCTGTGGAGCCTTGTGAATCCTGTGAAGCCTAACGAATGGGTGTATGCTGTTTCCATAGACGATGTGGAAGACGATATGGAAGTCGTGTGCATATGTGCCATGAGTGTGCTTTATGTGGTTGCCAGTGCCCTCGTGATTGTGCAGACAAAAACCAAAATTTTAAAATTATTTACATTCTCTGCTTTAATTGCATGAAAATCCGAATAATTAAGATAGAAAAAGTAGAAGAAGGAGTATTATGGTGCAGTGGCACAGTTTTGGGCAATAAATGAAAAAAAAGAAGAATGAATGAAGACTACAAATGTATGAGAGATGAGTAAAGCTTACAAGTAAAGTAGTTCAAGTAGAGCTCAGCTCAAAGAAATTATGGCCAAATAAAAACAAAGAGAAATTTCGTTAAGTTTTTGAACTACAATTAGCAAAAAAAAGTAACTTTATAACTTCGTTCTTTCAGAAATCAGTGCAATATATAAATATATGAAAAAATTATATAAACTTAACTTGAATAATCGCTACTTAAATAAAGTGTGGACGTAGCAAACAAGAAGAGATTAATATAACATTTTAAAAACTATTGAAAGACCATTTAAAGACGAACTAGAAACGGTGTTGTTAATAATATCATAAGCTTCAAGTATTTAATTAGATTGGGAGGATATATGCTAACATTAATATTAACACTTCCAATCGAAGACATCTATTTTCCATTTTGATGCCTTCCTATTGTGGTATCGTTGATGAGTTACCTCTTTTTTTAAATGAAAAAATATTACGAATTCATAATTTGACAGAATCTTTAATGTAACTAGCGTACTGAATATATTTTATATAACCACAACTTAAATAACTTAAAGCGGAAAATTATATATGATGGCCATGCCTAAGTAAACAGTCATAGTTCGATTTCTTGCACTCAATTCCAACTTTTATGGTATCTCCTCATATCTTTTGTATAACATGAATAACCTTGACAAAGATATTGAAACCAATCCGTGGATTTTAATGAGAAAATAAGTTAAGATCGATTTATGTTAAACAAGTTATGTTAAGAAAAGGACTTATGTTATAATAGCATTAAAACTTTTAAAGAATTGTATGTAAGCCGGAACAGTTTTGAGTAAAATCCGTTGAAATCAGTTGAAAATTGCTGTACATCTAAAAATATCTATCTTTCTCTTAAGCAAGAATTCTTACTTTTGATATTCTACTTGATCAGCTTAAGTCAAATTACATTTAAAATAGGGAAACGCAATAAAACAATAATATAATCAGCACATTATCTGCTCTCCATATATAAAATTTTTTAGCATCTAACATAAATATATGGCTATGCAGATAACATAGTCATAACAAGCAGAGGAAAATTTGAAAATACTCTATGCGACAGAATCCAATATGGACTAGAAATCAGAAGAAACTGAGTATAAACCCAGCTAAAACTACAGTTGTCACCTTCACAAAAAAATAAAAACTCAAACATCTGAAACTTATCAGAACCGATGGAATTGAGGTAGAAATAAAAAAAATGGTCAAGTTTTTGGGCATATATCTCGACCAGAAACTTAAGTGGAAGCACCATATTCAGAAGATCACGAAGAAAGCCACTTAGCTCTTATGACGTGTAGATTCATAGCAGGCAAAAGTTCGGGATGTACACCAAAAATACTGCGATGGGTTTACTCGGCGGTCATCAGACTCATCATTTTATATGGGGCACTTATCTGGAAAAATGAAACCAGACAACAGAATATCATTTACGCACTGAACAGGCTACAAAAACTGGCGTGCGTATATATAACGGGTGCCATGCGGACTTGTCCAACAGCATCCATGAAGGTCCTTCTAGTACTCGCACCCTTGCCGATATACATCAGGTCCGAAGTGGAAAGGTCAGTTCTATGAATGTAGAAAGGGAATATAATGGATAGCTGACTCAATAGAAAGAAGTTCGAAAATCTGGCCAAGCAGCACTTGGAATTTTCAATGCCATGCCAAGAGAATGAGGAGTCGACCACACATGTGATGTTAGAATGCCCTGCGCTAAAGCACATTCGAAATAGGCTCTTGGGAATGTATATTCTTACGTATGCAATAAAAGGCAATAAAATTATGTAAAGTAGGTACTATACTACTTTTTATTGATGCAACAGAGTTTAGAGAAGGGGGCACAATAGACCCGGCGGTCGCAGTGCCTCTTTCCCCAAACAATAATAAACAAAAAAACATAAATATAGGTCTAATTACAGAAATTTTAAATTTAAACAGTTACTATCCGTAGTTATTCACACTTAAACACATACACAAATATTTATTTTTTCTTTTAGAGATCCATTATCCTTGGGCAAATTAACTTTTAAATTGATATAAAGTATTTTCACACTTTATATAAAAGCAATTTATTATACATTTTTATAAATATGATAAATCAACAAATGTTTTGTTTTTTGCAGATACGACAGTCCTTTAAAAGCACGTCAGGAAAAAACAGCAACTTTTTAAAAATGCAGCAACTGCCAAACTAAACAACGTAAATATGTCAGAAACTGTTATTTGCCATAACTTTACAACAAAGTTAACGCACAATAGTTGCCAATTTTGATAAATGATTCAACTTATTTTTAAAAAATACAATAAAAACTAGAAAATATAAACTAAAACACTTTTTATAAGTAACGTAACGCCAATGAACTACATCAACAAATGCTCAAAATGAAGAACTCCGCATAGATAGTTTGACTGCATTTGAAAAATTGTGCTGAGCTTGTGCAAAAAGTGGCAGGAAAAACTTCACAAGTGCAATTTTTGACGCGTTGCAGTCAAACAAGTTTGAAGCTCTTAAAGAAAAATCTAATTGATTAAAAAATATCGACTAACAAATTTATTAGGTTGGTAACATTACAACAATGCAGAGGAATTGCAACTATCCGAAAGCCGTAACACATACACAAGCAGCGCTGCCAACAAAAGCAACAACGGTGTCTAACAGAGTACAGAATTGTCGCCGTGTGAATTTGCTGTTATTTACAGAATTGTATCACATAACTCTGTTATGCTATCTTATGTTAGTTCCAGTACTGACTACAACATTTGTCAGTGCTTCAACGTTGGATATATACAAAAATGCACGTCTAGGTCACCGCATTGTACAGACACGATATGGGCGTTTACATGGACTGATATTGCCGTTAGACAATTTTAGGTTTTTGCGGTCGGTTGAAGTGTTTCTTGGTGTGCCATACGCAACACCTCCCACAAAGCAAAACCGGTAAGTATTAACTAAAAAAGATCAGAAAAATAGATTTTTACTTTACAATATTAATTTTTTTTTACAATACATTAATCAGTTTAATTAGATTCTCTTTTAGAAGTAATTATTAATAAGAAAATAATTATTTATTATTTTTATAATTGTTGTCGAAACATACAAATTGGCAGCAGTGTATGAAATACTGATTAAAAGGATCATCAAATAAACGCTTTCGAATGAACAAATCTTTATTCCTCGGTTTATTTTTCATTAAGAAGAAATAATCAAAATCCAGCATTTGGATCTTCCATCATCTTCCATACTGACTGTTAGTGACTGTTAGTGTTAGTGTTAGTGAAACATGGATAATAATATCGTCAAATTTCACTACTTTTAAATAAACGTGTTAATCATATAAATAATAAGTTTGAAGAAATATAATTTTTTTTTTTTATTATATAAACACAATCTGTACAAGAACATTCAGTTCGTAATATAAAATATATGTTCTTAATATAAAATAGAATAAGATGATATGAAAACATGTGCGGGGCACTCAGTAGTGTACAACGCTAGAGATTAAATTACAAGTAATGATTACAATGATTACAATTACTAATTTAATGAGCAAATAGTTGGCTATAAATGTTTAATTTTAGTGAGTTTATAATTACGATTCACGTATTTGGGGTTCGACTTGGCAAGTCCGACGTAGAAAATCTTCTTAGTCGACGTGGATGATTGATTTCTGATAACAGCTCGTGTGCCAGTGAGTTCGGGTGGTTTGATAGCCTTGTATGGTAGTTGTTGCTGACTGTTTGTATTGTTTCAAACACTGTTTTAAACAAAATATAAATAATAATTTTATCACAAAGAAGATTTTTTTACTTTCTTGTAATATACTTTATATCACTTATTTTTCATATAGTAGTATGTTGGAGAGAACAAGACAAAAAAAAACACGAAAATCAATGGTATTATCCTTTATAAGGAAGGTTAACACAGAAAATGAGTAAGTGAGCTGTTCGTAGCTTACTTGCGGTGTATATTTCAAAGTAAAGCTGTAGCTTTCTACTTAAGTTTTTCTAACACACATATCTATCATTCTGTTCTGCATTCAATACCGAAATAGTCTGCTGCATGTAAAATCTGTAAAATAATTACTACTAAATATAAAGTTGTTGCTTTTTTTTAAGAATTTTTACGCTTATTTCGAGCGTTATTTTTACACTAGTTTCGTCGTAAGAATTTGAAAATTAAAAACAAAATTACTATTAAATGCTAAATCTTATTTTTAAAACCTTCGAAATGTCCTGATTGTGGTTAAACATTCATAGTTTATCGTATCGTTCCATAAATTAAATGAATGAAATTATTATATATTTTTCTGAAATATTCAAATCCAAAAAGTTATTTCGGTTTCTAAAATGTTTTTATAAATCTAACATTAAAAATAAGTCAAGAAATAATAAGAAAAGAACTACTATATGACAACATTTATATATTTGCAGTTTGTATAAAAACTTGATCGGACTTGATTTTGACTTTCTTCAATAAGCATTTTACAATATGTGTGAGATCGATTTAAAGCTTTTTTAGAGGAAACTTACCAGATATTGCAAAAATACTGTGATTGAAATATACATGTGTTGTTTTTTTATTTTGTATCACATACAGATTTCTGTTCCTGATAAGAAATTTGACTCATTCTTATTGCATCATCACTTACGAACTGTTTTTAATGAAATGGCATATTACGAGAATTTTTCAACAAACATTATAGATATTGGATAAAGGTTCAACATGAATTACATAAAGTTTAGCATAAAAACTGAAACCATTCAAATTGTCTAAAATGAACTCGAACAACATCGGTCAGAGGAACAGGGATAAGACTGTGCCTTCTTGCCTGTCTCTCTGTATGCTCAGAATCATAATTCTTTAATTAATGGGTTGCTAATCATTTTAATTGAAATCTCAAATAAATCATACTCTATAATTATATTCCGTATTTGAATTATATACAGAACTATATTAGAATTTTGCAAAAAAAACTTTCACTAAAGACAAATTTTATAACGGCATTGTTTTTTTCAATCTGATTCATATATGATTTGGTCAAATAAATTTCCTGTATTCATTGCAATGAATCAATGAATGAAAGATAACCGAATTACTTTCAAACCACATTTTTACGTAATTATTATTAGTGAACTTTTAAAACTTAAGCAATTCTAATTCTCTTCAGGGCATTGGAAGGGATACTATGCAATGGTTTATGACCTAAGTATATAAGCTTGAGAATTTAGATAAGATTCATATCTGTTTTAAGAAAACTAAATTCAAGATTCTATTATATTCTGCTAGAAATAAATTTTAAGTAGTTCAACTTATGCCTAATTTTTTTTAGTAATGTGGTTGGATGATCAGAGAGAAATGCAATATTGGCAATATTTGCCAATTAAAAATGTAACTTAAATTACATCTTTGCACTCAAATATAATGAAAGTCAGAGATATGACCATGTGCGATTTCGAGTAAATTGAGGTGAAGTAAATTGAAATTTCCTAGAGATTTTTTTCCGTTCACTTATGTAAATATTTATTTATTTATTACACTTACTTATTATTTTTGGTTAAAAGTTTTCAAATTTATTTATTTATTTATTAAACATCGATTAAACAAAATTTATTACATTTATTAAACAAACTTATCTAATTTAGTATACTCGAAACTATGATAAATACCAACGTTCCTGCCGTACCGACATATGTAATTTACAATTTCCCTCAATTTACCATCAATTGACTCGAAGTCGCACACGCCCATAGTAAATTTGCAATGCAATATATTAGTATCATTTTTTAAAGAAAAATGGATATTTTATTCTTTTAATTTTCTGCATGTTGGTCTTGATGTGTGATTAAAAATAATCGTTTTGATAAATTATCATTTTGAGTTTTAAAACTAAAACTTTTTTTTGACTTTATTAACCAAAGTGTCATTTTGATTCGCTTTTAGTTTGTATTGCTGTATCAAACACTGAAATCGGCCTTCATTAATACATGAATTCCACTTAAAGACAACATTAAAAGTTTACTCATTACATTATAGTTTTATAAAGAAAAAGTTTGCCAATTAAACACATGCTAATGCAATTTCATTGGCCAAACATTAACATTTGCACTAAAATTGATGCATCCAATTTGAAGTTTTCCAAAAGTAACATAAACTTTTAACGATCACAATAAATCAACAATTCAAAAATTAAATAAAAATAAATTGCTTTTTGATGTTTCCCAAAACTGACTAGCTAAAGTCCTGTATTTCAATCTTTGATGTGACATGATTGGTATGATTGGTGTGATGGCAAAGGCAATTGCCGTAATAAGGACGACGTTATTTAGTAAATGGTACGGCTCAGCGTATGATCAATAAAATTACTTTCATAGTTTTTATTCGTCCACATGATGAGCGTCGTTGAGCATCATTCATACTCAAAATATTGTGCAAAGTTATAAAATTTTGAATAAAATGCGCCTTCAGCAGATGCAAATATTTAAAAATAATTTTATACGCCTCATCTGCTGTCAGTGTCGTAAAACATAATTACAGATTCGGTTTTATGGGACCATAAACAAAGTGGAGCAATGGAACTTCTCAATGGAGATGGAGAAGTAGGTGGTGTTCATGTTGCTGTTGACCAAGAGAATTTAAATTTTGTTGGCTTAAAGTGCGTGAGACTGAAACAAAAGACAACTATTACCTTTGGTGAAATAATAATAATAATGATTTATTTGCACCATTAACAGTTGTGCCACTTATCCTTATGTCCATAAGGTAAGATTCATAAATTAAGAACGTAGCTAAAGGAGTAACCAATAGCAACTAGTCACATACAAATTCAGCAATTTTTTTCACTTTTACCTAAATTTACCTTACTCAGACAGCAAAAACGCAATCAAAATAATTTAAAATCGTATCTCATAAATTGATTTCGAAAGAAAAGTTATAACCGCCTTTTGGCCATAAAATGAATTTGGTATACTAATTTGTTCGGTATTTGTTGTTAAGGCAACTTCTATTTCCTTGTTGTTGCTGTTGCTGTTACTGTTGCTGTTGCTTCATTTAAGTTGCGTCAACAAACAACAACAGCTGTTCTTAAGCACTTTTTTGTTGCTTCATCATTAAATTAAAAAGTAAAAAAAATAAATTCATTTCAAAATTTCAACAAAATACTCAAACATTCCACACAATTACGCTATCAGAGCGAACTCAAAAACAATATAAAATACATAAAAACTCCTTTAAAGGACGAAAATTTCCAAAAATGAGCTGCGCAACTACACGACGATGTCGTGTTTTTGTTGCATGTGCACGTACTTCAAAATGTCATTTAATTTTGATTAAATAACTAAATTATTTTATAGTTTTTTTAATAAAGTTGGCAACATTTGCCGAATTGCTGAGTTGGAGCATTTGTTTTGACAATAACTTATTAAATGCATAGAAGAAACTGATAGTAATTGCCAATATTCTTCAAACTTAGAGGTTCCTATAGTTTTAAATAACATTCGCATTAAGTATTTATTTAAAAAAAAAATATATAAATTTTTAATATAATTTTCATACAATATTTATATTGGATCTATAATTTGAATATAGATACACACACATACACGTCAATGATAGATATGACAAATTTCCATGGCTCTGCAGTAGCTCTGCAGATAGAGTAGAGTCCAAAGATTCTAAAATCATATTTAATTTATTTTTTTGAAAACATTTAGTCATTTATTTAAAAAATCGTATTAAATTACTTCTCTTCATTTGAGTAGAGTTTATTTATTATATCCATAAATTTAATTTTTACAAAAATATAATTAAAAAAAATAATAAAAAAGAAAATACTTTCAATTAAAAGAATCGAAAAAATTATGTATACATTATGTATACGTATGTATACATTGGTTAACCACATATTTAAAGGTATAAAATCTTAAATAAATCGAATGTTATAGGTTCAGATATATTCATATTCGATATTATATTGGATAATACAGGCTTCTTATAAAAGTGATTTCAGCTCATAACGGTGTAGTACTGGGATCTATTGTAGTATAGAGTTATCTTTCTACTTTTTAGGCTAGTTATATATATTGAAAATATTATGGTGAATGGATGTATGAACTTTCAGAACTATTCTACTAAAATATACTAAAAGACTAAATACTAAAATATATTCCATACCTTTAGCTTAAGATAAAAATTCTTTACAGTAATAATAATTGACAGTATAAAGATATGTTTTGTATATTTGGTATTCCTTATGTTGTATACTACAAAACATTAAAAGACCAATAAGTACTGAAAATGCAACTATAATAATATAATTAATAACAATGCAGTTTGCAACTATTAAGAGTATGAAATAATAACTGAAAACTGTCACATCAGGCAGATGTGATAGTTTTAATAAAGAAAATCCCTGACAAATAGAATGTAGAATATGTGTAGAATATTTTAAATAAAAGCAATTATGATCAAATTAAGAAATCACGATAAAAAAGTCTTTGAAAATATAGAGTAAATTATCTCCGAATTATATCATTATAGGAATAATATGCTTACATGGTTAAAATATATAGATCTGTAAAAAAAAATGTCGAACTTATAGAAATAAAGGATAATCAAGCAAAGTATTTGAGAATAGGAACAATCCGTAAATTTTTAGGTAACCTTTTAAATTATAGGTTAAAAATATAGGAATTCTTTTTAACAATCAAAGAAAAATGTTTTAATTGTTTTCTTTAGCGAGTGTGTGATATTTTAATATTTCTAATCAAATAAGTGATGTGGAGTACTTTTAATTAGCTTCAAAGCTTATGTAATTCAGATTAAAGCGAATCTTACTACAATGTCTCTTGCATAGTAGCATAACTGAAAACACAAACTAGTTACATTTGTACATTATATGCCTAGCTTTAATAGTATGAAGCCATGTAAGGTGAAATTTTAATCTCCCGACAATCTATAAAGATATTGATTTTATCATTTTAGCAAAAATCAAATATTCAGTAAGATAGTAGAGGATTAATGTGCCAAATATTCCAATCTAGAATACTATGAATATAGGTCGCATAGTACTGAAGTCTACAGAAACACAAATATATTCTAATTGTGCTATACTAAACTTAGGAGTTGTAATGGACACTGTATTATTGCCATAGATTCTTCGTGCTATAGGCTTATTTCGCTTAGTAGTTACGCACAAAGTGATTTGTATAAATGATAGGTAAAGGTGAATAGATTATGAATTGCAGTATGTTGTAGAGTGTATATATAATGAGATGAATTCACACCTGTAGCTATTATACAGCTAATCTTATTTGATATTATTTGATTTACAAAAGATATCTAATTTATAATATTGCATTCAAACTCACATAGTATAATTTGTAGCATAAACGTTTAATAACTATTAAATTATTAAATTAATATTAAAAATATTAATTCTTTTAAACTAAAATAATATCTATTAATATCTATAATTAAATTAGCTATGAAACCATTGTAAATCATTGACTGTACTTCTACTTTGATATTTTCAAAGGAGAAGCAAACAGGGTCTGCTTACCTTAAAATGTGTTCACAGAAGTGATATCTATTACGAGGAAAAATTTTTAAAAAGTTTTTGATATCTTTAGACAATGTAAGCAATCATTTTTGTACTTCAATGCTGGCGAACTATGTGCAACAGCCTTCCAAGAAATATTATTAGGCTTACTTAAATTTAATTTATTAAAATTTTCAACTTATTGCCTACAAAATATTTTTCAATTAAATTTGCTAATATTACTCCGAGAAACTTATTTATCACATCCAACACCAATAAAAGTGACTACTAACAATAAATTTGTTGGCAATAATATTTGCTCAGGACAAAAGTCATACTTTGAACTAAACGTAACATTATCCAGTAAAGTTCTGAAGGCCTATTTGACTTTCCGCAGGAGAGTAAAGTAAGATGAAGCAAATTAGTTGGTTATTTGAAGCTAGTAACAAAAATTCAATTGCTTGGCAATTGAAGTTTCCTGGCAATGCAAAACACTTTGATAAAGTCAAGAAGAAGCAACGCTACAGCATTAAATCAAGAACACTACACAACACCACACCATCTCCACAAATCCAAGCACGATTTCACTTTTATGTATTTTCATATAAATTAAAATATATACAAAATCATAATGAGTAGAGGAATTTTGCGCCGCCACAATAAAGAAAACTCAACTGAATTTCAAGTGTTTCGCCACATAAAAAGTAGTCAAAATAACGCCTACTTTGTGAACTTGTGAACTTGTGGACGGAATGGCGGAGTTTCGATACTTCTTTCTTATTATGATTTCCTGTTTGTATGTTTGTGCGTTATTTGTTCTGTGATTATTATACTTTTTAATTTAAAAAAGAAATTGCTACCAGTTTGACGTACTGCCGCTAATTCCGGCTCATACATACAAATGCAGAATAAAAGATACAAAATCCTTGTTACTCGCACATTCAAAACTCATACTCATACTCATACTCAAACTCATACTCTTCAAATACTACACAAACAAACATAAAGCATAATAAATGAAAATATTGGCGAAGCAACACATAAACTCAGATGCTCTTTTGATATTTTGTTAATATTTTTCTTAGCTGTCATAATGAATTTATTTGGTATTCAGCTCACTTCAGTTTTATTACGAAATATTTTGTTCTTTGCAGATTTAGTCCAACACGCGCACCAGCACCCTGGGATGGCATACGCATATCTGATAAGTACAGTCCTGTGTGCCCGCAGCGTTTGCCAAACATACAAAACGAAACGGCTGCTTTGGAAAAGATGCCAAAAGGGCGCTTGGAATATTTAAAAAGACTTTTGCCATTTTTGGAGAATCAATCAGAAGACTGTTTGTACTTGAATATATTCTCGCCAATCAATGGTAAGTAGCAGGCTTCCGAATACATATAAGTAAAGCCAAGCTTTCATTATGCCAGCATGTACAGCAGTCAGCCATACATGAAATTAGCTCGCATTAAACATATTGAATATTATATTAAAATAAAAAAATTCATTCATTTTTTGTATTAAATTTCAATAATGCAATTATAAGTAATTTCATTTGCAATATTTAATTAATTCAATGAAAAAAGTTTAATTGGAATTTTCCGCATTAATAACAACATTTCATTATGAGCAGACGACAATAAATATGCCAACAAAACCTCCATTGAGTTTGGTATGCAAACAATAATTTAATATTAAAATTTTGTTAGTAATAGTGACTGTTAAGTACGCTATTTGCAAGAAAATAACAAATAAAACATGGAAGTCAAATTGGATTTGATTCCAATGCACCCATGAAATGAATTAGCAATTTCAACAGCTAGAAATTGTGTCTAGTACGGACCTCAATAAACATATTGATAACGTTCTCGTGAGTTAACATCCATCGTAAGGTTTTGTGGCATTTATATACTCTTAAAGAAATTTAAAATTGCTCCTATTATTAAGGCTCCTATATTATCCATTAGCAGTTAATAAGCGTCAGTTACATTTTACGATATTATAATTAAGATAGTTGGTAATGAATAACCCAAATTAATTTGTATATTATTTTGGACGTTTTGGGCTTTATTTGGATATTTGGTAAACATATAAAACTATATATAAATGCATACAAAATAAGTTCTTAGTAATAAATAGCAGAACAAAAAACTTGCCACTATTGACCCTTTCAAGTAATGTTAAAATATAATTTCAACAATTCAAAATCTTTAACGAATTGGAAACTTAACCTATTACCACATATTATAAAGCTGCGTTTAGCTTGCAACTAAAATCACATTAAATCATTTTAAGAAATATCTATTAAATAAATCACAAAGAATCGTTAATCAAGCAAAATAGATTTTATCATCTTCATAATAAACTCCATCGGGTTGACTCAGTCCACCACACATTTTTCATCGTCTAAGTTTGTTGTATGGCTGAGCACAGAAAACAATACTCACGGGCCAATTAAGGTGAGCACAAGGATTCGTCGATGCTTGCTTTGTGTCCAATTAGAATACACAAAAATATGAAAATAATTGAAAAACAATTAATGTCTATACATTGGGTGACATATCGGTTCTAACTATTGCATAGTGATACTATATAATGATGCCAATTACTCACACTTTTTTATACAAAATGTATATTTTGAGAATTCTGGCTTTGCTTAAGTCCTTCGGGATATCCTTTTCCATCAGAAAACTCTCCATAGCATCTCAGAGCAATATAATTTATTATAAACAAATAATCAAACGTTAAATTGATTAAAATGATAGGAAAAATAAACAGTGAATTATAAATCTCAACAGTTCTCCAAACCTAATTTGAAAATCAGAGTATTCAAATTTTTTTAAGCCGAAAATTTTTTGTTCTCTTAA